ATAGAGCAGGAGCTAAATGTGTTTTTAACATTTGGCTCCCTGAGGTCCTCATTATGAAGATGTGATACACAGCACTAGAGGGACTCAGCAGTCCCTGCACATTGTTTTCCACTGTGTTTAAAGACGGTAAACATTCAAAGCTGAACTTAAACTTCACACCTTTGCATCAAAACATTTCCTACACTGAAAGCAAAGCGATTCGGAGCGTACATTACTATCCCCTCGAATAACTACAATGCTCATCATTTATAACATTACATAACAATTCACAACAAACATTATGTAAAGGAGAGAAATATTCAAGGTTTTTAAAATGTTTATTTGATTTTCTTCATTTTGTTACACACTGTCCATCAGCTAGTCTCTCTCATGTATTAAACACGCATTTCCACCTCAATTCACCTTCAAACTCTTCCATATGGCCCCACGCGCTTTCTTTTCTCATCGTTTCTGATTTCTACAACATATAACCTCTCATTTCCTTTTAATCCAACAGCAACCAAACTATAAATAAACATCTTATATCATACATTTCAATACAATACTTTCAAGAGAGAAAAAAACAAACACAAGAAATGAAAAATGTAAAAGAAACAGAATAAAAGACTTGCATATACTGAATGCTGCACATCTGACAATACTGAAAACCACCAGACACGTTTTTGGCACAGATTGTTCTCTTTACAGCATAAGTTGTCGGTTTTGGCGGCGCACACAAAAACACTATGACAGAGATTGCGCTGATCTGCATGGCACAAGAGACGTTCTGTTGACGCTAACAAACTGCTACAGAAGAGTTTATGTACAAAACTGATATTTCCACCACAATGTCAATCCTTCAGAACTGAGTTCCTTTCAAAGTGCTTCACAGAATTCGTTCGTGGATTCTGCAATAGTTTTAATATTCATCATTGGATCTGGCTCTGACATCGACTGTGTGCTGAGACATACTCTATGAGATGAATATGTGTGAATATGCTGTCAATCAATCGCGATTAATCACATCCAAAATAAAAGTGTTTGTTTACATAATATATGTGTGTATATTTATTATGTATATATAAATACAAACATGCATGTATATATAAGATAAATATGTTGTTTATATATTAAATATATTTATATATAAGAATATAAATATATCCATGTAAATATTTTCAAAATATATACAGTATGTGTGTATTTATATATACACACCACAAAAACTTGTATTTTAGATGCGATTAATCGCGATTAATCGTTTGACAGCACGAAATACTGTGATCGCCCTTTACTCGTGAAAACATTCGACTGGTCATTTTTTATTAGTGATTACGGAACGAACGTGGAACAATATTTCACCTTTTACACCGACGTGACTGTTTTCTTGCGCAGACAGCAGTGCATTTCAGTTGCAGACAGCGAGATTAAAGTGAAACGGTGGACCCAGATGCTCAGTTTCTGAACGATTGCCACAAACAAGCAAGGCACAGAATAACACAGAACCGTGGACAGCAGCGTCAGTCTCCGAGAAGTGCTTCCTTTTCTGCAACACAATACTGAACAGGATGGCTCATGTTTTCACAGGCGTGAGGGTTAGGTCTGTCGGGTCCATCTGTGGGCAATCGGCGCTAGCGTCAGCACTGCAGTCTGAGCACCGAGCTGCTGTCTGTGGGTTCACAGCTTCTTTGGCCTGTCGAATGCAGTTGAGCCACTGCTGTTTATTGAAGGCGTCGCTGGCCTGGAAGCAGTGCGTCTGCAGCTGTCCTCCGCTGCGAAACGCCACCCGGAAAAAGTTCTTTGCTGGAGGGAGACAAACAGAGATCGGCATGTTTACAGCAGCTCTTTAGGCATCTGTAGTTCTGTGCAAAGCATTCACAGCATGTAGATTAAGACGGGGATTTTTGATGCCTGGGACTCCAGATACACTACTGGTCAAAAGTTTGGAATAATTAAAAAAAAATTGTTTTTAATGTTTTTGAAAGAAGTCTCTTCTGCTCACCAAAGCGGTATAAATATAAATATTTGCTGTAAAATAATATATTTTAAAAGAACAGTTTTCTATTCCAATATATGTTCAAATGTAATTTATTGCTGTGATGAAATCTGAATTTTCAGCATCATTACTCCAGTCTTCAGTGTCACATGATCTTTCAGAAATCAGTATAATATGACGATTTGCTGCTCAAGACACACTGTAAGAACACAGATTCCCTCACATATAGAGCCAGATGCTTGCGTCGTGTGGCGCGCATAATTCAAGACTGTACCCATCCTGGAAACATTCAGTTTACACTGCTACCTTCTGGGAGGCGCTACAGGGCTATCCAGGCCCGCACCTCCAGGCTTAAGAACTGTTTTTATCCACGTGCCATTAGAGAACTAAATGCATAATTACAATGGACTTTTTCTAATACTAATGTTTGATGTCTTTATATTCTTTTGTATGTTTCTTACCACATACAAAAGACGGCCTTTGGGACAAGACCACGGGAGTCCTCTGCACAATCGGACCCTGCTGCAACCTAGATTTAAACTGGGTTTGTCTGGCCAGAGGAGAAAGACACACTATTTCCCCATTTGATACTGTAAAGCTGCTTTGACACAACTTGCATTGTAAAAAGCGCTATATAAATAATGGTGACTTGACTTGACAAGGAGTTGCATTTGAATTTCATTGTACAAATGGGGCCAAAATTGTACCTTTTGGGGTACAACAGCTTGACACCGTAGCAGTACACCGTACATATTAGTACCTTAGAGTAGTAATTCACACCCTTAAGGTACTAATTTGTAGGCCTGCCTATTAGGGGTAAAAAAAGGAACAAAGATGTCCTTTTAAGGGTCCTGTTCCAGTGACAAGCGGTTGTACCCCAAAAGGTGCAATTTTGGCCCCTTATTTCCTGTATATAGCCTATACATCCACAACAATTTCTGAAACCAGACAACCCTATTATTTGTATGGCCATCACATAAAAAAGGTCTAAATCCTTAGTCTGGGGCCGTGGAAAATAATGAAAGGTTCTCTCTTGCACTGCCCCTTCACAACCCCCCTTCTTTACAACTTTGGTATAGTGTAATGTACTATACCAAAAGCTTGGAGTCAGTATAATTTTTTTTTGGGGGGCGATTATAGAAATTATTACTTTTATTTAGCAAGGATGCTTTAAATTGATCAAAAGTGATGATAAAGACATTTATAATGTTACA